TATAAATAATATGGATCACCCTACACAACACCCGGTAACCGTTTATACACGTGGTGTTATCGCGTGGTCATCATGTCCATATCTACCCTTTCCCACCCCGTTAAGGTATTAAAGCGCGGAATAGTCTCGTTTTCTTATTGCATGCTATTACCCGCCCCAATCCTATCAGCCCCGGAGGTATTTGGGACTACTAATCCTAAAGGGAAGGGGTGTGAGGTTTTATAGTTTCAAAGGACAAAATTCTAAGGCGACAATCAAAACACATATGTAACAAATATGGGGAGAAGCACATAGCAGATAGAAAGTCTCAGACAAACCTCCTTAAAAACCAAAAGAAGCATATAGTTTAGCATGTCTTACACGTACTGATTAGGGTCTGATTAAACTTAAGAGTTGTGGCAAACTGATCTATTACATATTTCAGATAAGAAGCCCAAATCAGGCCTGCCTGCTGGTTGTAGTTAATAGAATCTGATTCAATTTACAAGTTACCCTATGGCTTGCCTAAGTGTTAAACGAAAACCTATAGGCATGATATATATTAGTTTCAGAAAAGAAGTATACTGATTTTAAGGGAAAGAAATTGTCAATTACAGGAATATAAATTCTGCAGTCGTTATTGTTTCTACTGATTTTAGACTCATAAGCGAATGGACGATTCAGATTTAGTTGATGGTTCCTATAGGCATGCTTTCTAGGCGTTACTGATTTAAAATATTTTTTTAATCGAAACAAGAGTGCAGAAGTCTTATAGGCATGGTATCTAAAATGATGTTAGTTATTTAAACCTATAAATAGGTTTGCCTAGTGACAGATGCAGATGCAAAATTCAGGAAGTCCTATAGGCATATTATCTATATGATATGCAGCATTTCAGAAAAGACTTATAGACATGGTCTCTATATAATGCAGAAGTGCAGAAACCTATAGACATGGTCTCTATATGAGGTGCAAAAGTACAGAAACCAATAGACATGGTCTCTATAGAAATGCAGAAGTGTAGAAACCTATAGACATGGTCTCTATATGAGATGCAGAAGTGCAGAAACCTATAGACATGGTCTCTATATGAGATGCAGAAGTGAAAGCTGAAAACAGGATACATGAGTGTAGAAGTGTAAATATTCCCTATGAACATGATATCTACCCATTTGCATGCATGGTTACCCTTCCCTTTTTCACTAATCACCCCAGAAGTTTATTAAAAAATTGTTACCGGCCAAAATAAAATAAAGAAATTACATCATAAAAAATAAAATTACAACCAAGGAGAGCCTGATTCAGGTTTCCTTCCTGAAGCATGAAGTAAACCAACTCCAAAGACCAAGATCCAAAGTCGTTCTCATTTGGGGTGTGTCAGAGTTCTCCTAAGAGCCTCATGGACTCCGGGCAGTGCTCACACCCAAATACATTGCAAGATTGAGACATAGTGCAGTGTGGAAGGGCCAGCCCTCAAGTGTCCAAGTTTAGAGGGAACTCAAGGTCCCAAGGCATGGCTCACAGAGGGGGGCAGAACTTAGAAACTAGGATTGAGTGTAAGTGCATAGAAGAAATTCTGAAAAGGGGAAAAGGGGAAGTGGCAAAGACAGGCTAGTGGGCTTACCTAGCAATAGGAAGTGCTGGCACACCCCACCAGCCTGTTAGAACATATTGTTTTGGGAGTTAGGATCCCAAAGGGATCAAGTCTAAACATGGGCAATAACTTGCATATTGCCATGTTCTGTACTAGAACTCAAAGCACATAGAGCGAAATAGGGGTGCAGGGATTTACAGCAGAAACATATGAAAGGAAATTAACATGCTAATTGACATTTAAACTTCATATAAACAGTCATGGATGTAAAGGCTGTAAGTAAACACATTGGGATGATGCTTAAACCAAAACTAGCACACACCAGTCTCAAGGAAACAAGCAAGAGAAAGCAGTAGTCTTGTAAAGCCAAAGTGCAAACAAGCAGTCAGAATGCTATGAGTTTAGAAGAGAACTGTGAGATTATAAGTGACTGAATTGTGTAATGTGTGCTAATCGTGTAATGTATTCTCTTGAAAGTGCAGAAGGGTCATGCCCTTTTATAGTGTAGAAAACAAGCAGAAATAGGTAAGAAAATAGTTTGAAAATTAATTTCACAAGGTTTCCCTTTAATTAAGGGATTCTAATTTCAAACGGGTAAAAATAATTAAGGAAAGAGATTAATCAAACACCTTTTCAAAGCAGTACAAGAGAGATAAATACATAGAGGTATATTTAAGGAAAAAGTCTTGATAGCACACGGTTTGTGCAAATAAGGCAAGAGAATCAATCAACAGCTAGTAATCAAAAATTGAAGATTTTGTATGAATGAACCAAGTCAGAAAGATGGGAAAGATTTTGACTTAAGGAAAATCAGTAACAATCAATCAAACCTAAAAAAAGGATTCTGAATCAATCATAAGTTGGAAAACCTTTTCGGAAGAAAGAATTCATCATACATATAAAAGCATACAGCCATGCTTAAGCACGAAGAACTATCATGCTAATAAGCAGAAGAGTCTAGCATAGAAGAATTTAGAAGTTCAGAATCATAAACAAAGAAGTTCAAACTTAGTTCATAGACTCAGAAATAAGTCTGAAAGAGTCCAGGGTTCTCAAACAGAACCCTAGTCTGATCATATGACCAAACTCGGAGGAAACCCCCCCTCCCCCCGAATTCTAGGGTTTCTGACTCGAGTCAAATACATAGATGAGGAGGCAACATGCTCAGAGATTTCTTTTCAGAATCGCATGAGAAGACAAGCAAATACAACAGAAAATTTATAGCAAATAGAGTGAAGAAACTAACTCGAAGCATTAATGAGAGAACAACATGGTAGTAGAAGAAACATGTTTAAGAAAAACCTTTTAGAAGGGACTTAAACAGGGTTCAGTAGAAGAGAAAACAATAACACTTAAGAACTCAATAGGCAATACATACAGTAGAAGAACACAAAAATATCGGAAAAGTATAGCAAAAGAACATATAGGTATCACAGTAGAAAAACAAAGCATAGAAGGACATGCATAATAAAGGAAAACATAAGAACACAGTAGAAGAACATGCGTGGTAGAAAAGAAAACATAAAAACATAGTAAGACAAATACACACAAAGAAAAAGAAAAATCAGAGAAACATTTTAAGCTTTTAGAAAACCCTAAATCGAAGAGAAGTGATTTTTAAAAGATAATTTTGAAAGAAAAATTTGGGGAAATTGTTTAAAAAACCAAGTAGAGCACAAGTACGTGACGGATCTAAGAAAATCAGAGAGAACCTCGAATAGTTAGGGTTTCAGAAGAACCCTAGAATGAGAAAGGCTTGGTAAAGGTCCGATCTGAGTCGGATGAGTCAGAACCGGGCTCAAAACACCAAGGTGTGCCGGAGCTGGGCCTGAGATGGCCATAGAACCTTGAATCGGCGAAGATTTGAACGAAAACCTTCGAGGTCAGACCTCGAACCTTCGAGTACCAAGTGTTTAAGAGCATAGGGAGATGAGTTTAAACCATCCATGGCTTGAGAGGCCACAGATTCCGGTGAGCTTGAGGTAGAAGACAATAGAAGACGATTAGGGTTTCGAGAACATTTGAGAGAGTTTGAGAGAGGGGGGTATTCAGAGGCGGATGATAGAAGGGAAATGAGGGGATTAGGGTAGTCTTTAGGATTAAAAAAGGCAAGGGCGGATAAGGGCCGTTGATCTCAGAGATCAACGGCCAGGATAAAAAGGGGTCTGGGTCGGGTAGTTTTAAACGGGTTAAGGGCTGGGTTAAATTGGAATTGGGCTGGTCCGTTTGAGGTCCGAAATTGGGTTATTTAGGGGCATCAATTTGGTCCATAATTGAAATGAAATGGGGCCATATTTTAAATAGCCAGTTTTTCCTTTTTAATTTATAAAAATAGTAAAAATGATTTCGAAAATAAATTAAAAGTACTGGACCAGTTAATAATATACAAATATTAATGTAAAAATATTGGAACCAATTTCATAATTATAAAATGCTGTTAATTCTGAAAATAGGCTAAAATTGCAATTATATGCAATTTGGCTTTTAATATACCAAATAAATTTGTAAAAATGTATAAAAATTATCCTAGCTACATTTTGGTATAAATATGAGAATAAAATAAGTTATTCACCAAAAATGATAATTTTTGGGAATAATTATTGGTTTTTGTAATGTTAAAATGGGCAATAAATTGATTTAAAAATCCTTTAAAAATTAGAAAAAATACTAAAACGCTTGGGCATACTTATATATGCATACATATGCTATTTTGAAAGTATTTTGCATATAAAAAATATACAGAAAAAAATTATGTATCAACACCTATACCCTCAGATTGTACCATCATAGGAACCAGGTGGGTATTCAGGAACAAGCTTGATGAACATGGGAATACTACAAGGAACAAGGCAAGGTTAGTTGTCCAAGGTTACAATCAGGAGGAAGGAATTGATTATGATGAGACTTTTGCTCCAGTTGCTCGTATGGAAGCTATCAGAATCCTCATTGCCTTTGCATCACATATGAATTCACTCTGTTCCAAATGGATGTCCAAAGCGCATTTCTGAATGGCTTCCTCAAGGAAGAAGTGTATGTAAAGCAACCTCTAGGTTTTGAATGTCATGAACACCCTGAATATGTGTTCAAATTGGACAAGGCGTTGTATGGGTTGAAGCAGGCTCCTCGAGCTTGGTATGAAAGATTGTCAAAGTTTCTCTTAGAAAATGGTTTTACAAGAGGAAATATTGAGTTCCTAAAGAAACGAGGGAGGAACCTGCTCATTGTTCAGGTATATGTTGATGATATCATTTTTGGGGCAACAGCTGATTCACTATGTGAGAAATTTGCAAAACTCATGGAAAGTGAGTTTGAGATGAGCATGATGCGTGAGTTGAATTTCTTCTTGGGTCTTCTAGTGAAGCAGTCCGCGAAGGGTACATTCATCAGTCAGCAGAAATATATCTAGGAGCTTCTAAAGAGATTTGATATGGAAGCATCAAAATTGATTGACACTCCCATTGCCACTGCCACTCGACTAGACATGGCTGAATCTAGCTCTCCTGTAAATCAAACAATGTATATAAGCATTATTGGGTCTCTTCTCTATCTCACTGCCAGCTGGCCAAATATTGTCTTCAGTGTGGGACTGTCTGCAAGATTTCAGTCAAATCCCAAGGAATCTCATCTGAAGGTTGCCAAAAGAATTCTGAGATATCTTAAGGGAACGCAGGACCTGGTTCTGTACTACCCTTCAGGTGACAATTTTAATCTTATTGGGTATGCTGATGCTGACTATGCAGGTTATCTTGTGGACAGGAAAAGCACATTTGGAATGGCTCACTTCCTAGGATCATGCCTTATTTCATGGGGAACAAGGAAGCAAAACTCAGTAGCTCTTTCAACACCTGAAGCACAATATGTTGTTGCAGCCTCCTGCTGTGCTCAGCTTCTATGGATCAAACAACAATTGGAAGATTTTGGAGTGTACACTGACTGTGTGCCTCTTCTGTGATAACACAAGTGCACTCAACATGGCCAAAAATCCAGTCCAACATAAAATAACCAAGCACATTGATGTGAGACATCATTTCCTCAGAGACAATGTGGAGAAGGGGTTTATCTGTATGAAGTTTTGCAGCACAGAAGACCGAATTGCAGATATTTTCATAAAAGCACTAAGCAAAGAGCACTTTGAGAGAAATAGGCTGCACTGGGGCTAATAAAGCCTAATCTAGAACCTGATTCCTACTATATGGCTATGAAAATCACATACAGGTAAAATTAGCTAAAGTGTTTTCCGTCCAAGTCTAACTCACTTCTATACCGTTACAGGTAGACACGCATGATGATTATTGAAGCTGCTGAGGTAATGCATAAGCGGTAAAAGAGGGTTGAGAATTTTTTGAAAGACCGGTCAAGAACCTGGTTCTTGTACCACATGTTAGTAGTCTTGTGTTTTTCTCATATATATCTAAAAAGAAACAAAAAAAATTGAGTGCCATGTCATCAACCTTTTCAGACCCTGCATGTCACGTCTTTTCGTTCAAATCCTTTCACTTCCCTCTGAAACGTTGCACCTCCCCACAAAACTACCGTCGTTTCAGAACCGATTTTTCTCTCCCTCATTAAAACCATCTCATCTCCAAAACCTTGAACGATCATCTCTCTCTCTCTCTCTCTCTCTTTCTCAGCCTTTCCAGAACTTTCAAACCAATCCTCTACCATGGCAGAAAATCAAACAATCCTTCCCACCATTGAAGAGAAAACCCTAGGGAAAACCCTCGACTCCTCCGTTCCTAGTGAAACACCTCTCTCTATTCCCCCTTCCACCACTGTTGGAAGTGATACTCCTAAACCTGATTCTCCTTCACCCTCTATCACTCTCACCACTCCCACAGACAACATTCTCCCTCCAAGTGTTGAGAACTCCGAAATCCCAAAAATTGATAGTTTCTCTTCCCTGTCGCTTGAGATTCTCAAAGAACAAAGCAAAGATGGAGAAAAGAGTGAGTCTCCACAGGCAGAAAAAGGTTCTGAGGATGGTGTTGATCAGTCTACAGGTACTCCCATCTCTGATTTTGTTGCACCCATGGAATCTCAAAAGAGAGAGGCGATAGAGAATATGTTGGCCATATCTGCTGAAGAAATAGTGTGTGAGGTCACCTCTACTATGCCTGAGTCTCAGGGGGACGAGACTCAATCGTTGGTGGGAGAAGGAACGATGGTGATCTTTGAACAACCTGCACTAGAAGAAACTACTGGGACCCCTCTTGAAGGACCTGACCCCTCTCTTGAGAAAACAGGTCAGGAATCTTCTTCCCAGGTCAGTTTCAACCCTGCTCCTTCTCCTCACTTTGATGCTGAGCCCTTGGAGGTAGTACCTTCTACTATGAGGTCTAGTGATGAAGAAGATTGGGATAATGTTGCTCTAGATGTGTTCATTGCCAGAAGGAAGCTAGTAGCAACTCCTGAGCCCTCACCTAAGCGACCAACTACGAGGTTGCAGAAAAAAGGAGGCTCTTGAGTCTGCCTTGCAGAAGAGTAAAAGGAGTAGCAAGAAGAAGAAAAAGAGGCTGGTGAAGAATGGAGAGATTGTTTGTGACAAGAACATTCCTGTAGTAGAAGTAGATGAGGAAGCTCAAGAGGAACCAAGTTCCTTGGTCAAAAGAACTAAGAAAAGAAACAATCTGCTGAAAGTGTTTCAGAGGAGGCTGTTGGAACGCCCAGTAAAAAGTCAGTGAAAAGTAGTGACAAGTTGAAGCAAGTGGTGGCTGAAGAGTCAATGTTTGATGATGATATTCTAGTGAAATCAAGTGGAAAAGGGTAAGTCTAGTCTGAAGTCTGGCAAAAGAAAATTGGAGAATGTGAAGGAACCCGGTTCTGTGAAGAAAGTGAAACGTGAAAGTGTATCTGGTAAAGAAAGGTTGAGGTACCAGAAAGTTCTGTGGGGTCGCACATTTGACCCAGAAATATCTGAGATGGCTGGTATGAGGAAAATACTTGAAATGGTCGAATTTCAATAGTGGGGCCATCTGTTCAAAGTGGATGTGCCCAAGGTTTATGAGGATGAGGTCCAAAGTTTCTATTCTGACCTCTTCACTGTTGAATTCGATCATGTCTGTGCTTTAGTTAATGGGTAGACATTGTTATGGACTATGCCTTGCTAGGAGATATCCTTAAGGTTCCTTCTGATGGAATGTCTTCTTTTAGGGATGTCTGTGGCACAAACTTTAGGCATGCAATTGTCAAGGAAGGAGTAGTCCAGCGGGGGGAACGGATGCATAAGAAAGCCTTGCTTCCTGTGTATCAGCTCCTGTTTGAGTTGGTGACAAAGTCCTGCTACCTCGCGCTGAGAGGAGGTCTATCACATCCAAGTCTGATCTTTATCTAATAGAAGCACTGGATGGGTTCCGATCTGTTAATCTGCCAGCCACAATGATTGAGCACATGCAAAAGGTGGCAGCGTTCAAAGATGGAAATCATGGTCTCCCCTATGGATTTCTTCTCACGCATGTCTTCAAGTTCTTTAATGTGCCTTTGGGACAACCCAAAGTGGGGACCAAGAAGTATACCTTCTCGCAAACTACTCTAGAGGAATGTGAATGTGTTGAAAAAGGTGGAGGGGTAGGAAGCACTTCGACGATCTCACAGCTTATCAATGCCCAGAACAGTGCTACTGAGGAGATTAGGAAGTTAAAGGCAAGGAATTCCATTCTAGAGACTCAGCTAAGTCAGGCTCAAGAGGCACCAAGGTCCTCCAGTTCATCATGTGCAGAGATTGCTCGTCTGACCAAAGAAAATAATGATCTCAGGCAACAGGTTGAGAACCTAAAGGAGAAACTACTCGTAGAGCAAATGTCCGCAAATGCTCGGATTGATCTCGTTCTCAACACTCTTGCTGCTGCTTCTAAGCCCTTTTCCTCTAGTGTTCCCTAGGCTAATCCACCAATGACCAGTGGCCAGTTTCTAGTTTATCTTGTCTATTCTGATGACTTTGTGGTAGTTGTTTTTGCTTTTTTGGTTGTTTTGTGGCATGAATGGAATTCACATGAATTGCTCCTGTTTTCAACAATCCAAAATTACCTTTGTTGTATAGTAAAGGCTTATGTTTTATAATATTAATGAAGACTCTCCTCTTTTGTTGTAAATACTTATGTTTCTCAGCTTCTCTTTTCTATCATGTGGGGTGCATATAAATGGCATGAGTTAGCTAGGCTAGACTTCTTTATGCTGCTTGATTGCTTGTGTATTTTTAATGATGCCAAAAGGGGAAAGAGTTGAGAGCGAAATTGAAGGGACTGATTCAGGAGGGAGTAGAGAGCAAAATTGAAGGGACTGATTCAGGAGGAAGCACAAATTCAGGGGGAACTTGTGACGTTCCTGTTACTCTATCTAGTTTTTATTGTTCTAAATATGATTGTCAATTTTTAAGTTTGTCATCATCAAAAAAGGGAAAATTTATGGGTTTAAAGTACCTTAGATTTATGTTTCCATGATCTACCAAACTTACTATCAAAGAACCAGATAAGGAACCTGATACACTTGGTACACAACTCAAAATAACGAACTTAAGCTAATGTGAGTTGCTATGACTTCAGAAAATAAAGAATCAACACAGGGACCTGATCCTCTTGGGTTCCCCTGAGAGCAGTACGAAGTCAAGTGTCTACAGCTGGAAAGTGAACTGCCTGCACTGTGCGCGCAAACAGTGCAGCACAGTACAACAGTCACTTCTCACTGATCAACCAAGTGATTTCATCGTTCAAGTGATGCCATCCAAGTTGTATTAACAAAGAGCATTACAACAAAACATCACTTGAACACTTGAGAATTCATTCAAGCACTCCAACTGCCTATCTATCAAGCATTCAATTCTCAAGTGCATCAAGAACAAAGTACGACACTACTACGGACCAATTACTACAGCAAGTCTAGTGTATGTCCCTAGTTGAGTTGTAACTTTGTAATTGTTCTTCATTGTAATTCCTACTTTGCTTATCTAGAAGCTTTAATAGGAACCCCTTGTAAACCATAAACCTTCAGTGTTTGTGTCGTGACTAGAGTTAGTCATGAGTTGAAGTCTTTGTAATAGGTGTATTGCAAAGTGGCTTGTAATAGGTGTATTACAAGTTAGTGAGGGATTAAGAGTTTAATTCCTAGATTGCATAGGTTGTAATCTAAAGTTTGCTCATAGTGAAGTTGAAATCCTACCAGTGTAGGTCGTGGCTTCAGCATGACCGTTCCTCTTCTTGTGGCAATTTAGGGATAAAAATTTGAAATTCGGATCGATTTACAAATTTTCGTGTGCTATAGTCCACGCCATCTACATATATCCGGGTGACCTGATCCGAATTGCCTAAAAGAAATCAAAACAAATAAAAGCATTCACAATCCCAGTAAAGATGTTTACCTTTCCGTTTGTCTTCTTTCTTTTCTCATTCTTTGTGTTGCTTGTACGCTGTAGCACAATGTACGACGCTGATGGTGCTTGCAACTTAAATCCTGCACTTGTGCCATGTACAACTTGCTTGTATGGCCATTAATGAACGCCATGCAAAATCTGTAAAGTTTTGGCGCTATGTCAATGATTTGTCTATTTTTTTCATATATGGACACTTTTTTGTAAAAAACTCTGCGTACGTCATTGGTGATGCTCATGACATGCTACGTAGAGATTAGAGAACCTTCAATATATCGTAAGAGATGGACCAAGCAAGGCATAACTCAAATAAGTCCATACAAATTTGCTGAAAGATAAAGTTATTCTACTTCCTTTGAACCCAAATCTGATAAATCTTGACAATCAGATTTGCTACTATGATTTCTCACTGTATATTAATTAACACATTAACTATAACCAGTATATCTTATTTAAAAAAAGCACATCTAATAGATCAAAAAAGTTTCTAACTTCATGCATTGACAGTTTTAAAATTATTTTGCAACATCAGGTAAAGAAAATATTTGGTTTCTACTCGGTGTGCGGTACTCGCGTTGGAGCCCGACTAAATTCTGATTCGCGCCGGGAAGTCCCACAACCCAGGGACTTGAACCCGAGACCTCCGGTGTCTAAGTAAAATATTTTACAACAATTGATAACTGATATAAGTTTAATATGATAACCTAGAAAATAAGATAAATAACTATCTATAACAGGATAAATTACATTGATATTACCATGTATGATCGTCATTAAATCTTCAAGATTTCTCCTATAAAT